TTTGGCTGCGATTAGACATCACCTGCTCGCTCTCTTTGGCGGCACACTACCCTAAAAATTGCATAAAAAGGAGAAAACGCTTGAAATCTCGCACCGAGAGATGTCAATAGGCTGCAAATAGACCAGAAGTTTAACTGCTAAACGAACTGAATTAACACTTTATTAAGCAGACTGTCGCTTAACCTCGGAGTGAACAATCACTAAATTTTTTTTGATTGTTCATCTTACACGAGCATGTTACATAACTTTTATCCGGTTAACATTTCGGCGTCCTTGTCTCCTTCAGAGCCACGATCTGAGTCGATGGTCCACAGCCATTCGTCATCTCGATGTGGTATGTTCGTCGTCGTTCCTAGTCGAAGCTCCTTCAGAAGAGCACCGCTCGATCTCGAACAATCAGCTAGGATCACCGGCCTTTAGAAAGACGAAATTGTCTAAACCTTAACCGAATGAAAGTTGTGTTACAATCTCGCAAAAGCTGAATAATCCAAAGAAAAGAGTTAATTTTAACGGCTGGAAGAATCCTTTGTAGTGACCTAAAAACGACTAACTTACTTTCTATTTTTACATGGCCTAACACAACATGTTATGTGGTTCTGGCAGTTTGTGTATCGGATTAATTTCCGTGCATTCGTGATGCACGTAAACTTCGGATATGCGTTTCGCTTTGACTACGGTGAGGATTTATTTCCTGTCTTCAAATATCGCTATTGAATGCTAGTGCAGCCGATTCTTTCTGTAATTCCTGCCATAGCTGTAGTACGGGTTTTCCCAGGTCTTCCCAGAAACCAATCACCAGCATTTTTTAGTCGGAGGTCGCTTTTCCAACACTTGTCTGACAATTTCCGGCCCTGGTCGATGTATTGCGCGATTGACCGAGAACCATAGGCTAATTGAATTGTATCTGAACCACTGTGCTACCCGCACCACTAAAAAGTAATATAGTTTGGCGTAATCATTTTACTTTTATATCTTTAATATTTTTTGCGTAGTCACTGATCATTGATAGATCTGCTATTATCATCCTTAGAACAAGGTGAAATACAGCGTGTGACCACAAAATAACAATTTTATTAGGCAGCTTGTTAATCTTCATGTCGAGATGTATTTCACTTTGAAGGACGCTATTCTTTCTCAAAAATAATCCAGAAAACACTTAAGCAATTCGATTCTTCAAAATTCTAAGGAAATCTAAGCACTCATAAAAAAAGCATGCAAATGTTGGAAAATTCGGGTTCTACGATCACAACCAGTACGCTCTCCTTCCATTCCACTATGTGTACTGTTCATGAAAGATCGCAAAGCGATGCAACTTCTTAACGTACAGTTAGTTCATTTGACACCGCTACGTTCATCGTTCGTGTAGTCACCTGTTCGATAAATAACATCTAGGATCTAAGACAAGAAAAATCTACAGTGCCTTTTATGATGTGCATGTTAGGTGCACTTCCACCCAGTGTTGAAGCCGCCAAAATGGGGAGCTGCTATGTAAGTTTCTCTACCCAAACTCTCGACAGCACAACTAAAAAGTGTTAAGAGCAAAACTGGAGCTGCCGTGAGAATTCACATCACAATCTATTATGAGAAAGGAATAGGCAGTAGGCAAAAGGTAAAACATTATGATTTCGGATGCAACTTCAGCTTAACTGGACTCCATGCTGATTTGTGCTCCTTTAATCAGTTAATCAGGTGATTGCTGATAGCACCGTTAGGGTAAGAAACTGTGTAAGCTAAGTGCAAAGCAAGAGTTTTGATTGGTGCTCTGGATAACACGCGAGTCCCCGGAAGGGGTAATAGCGGTTTCAAAGCCAACCTGAGGTTCCGAGTTTTCCTCATGTCTCACATTGTTGCGGTTGCAGTTCATATAAAAAGTGTTATTTTTACTAGGGTTTCTATAGTACAGCGGCAAATATTATGTGTTAATCTTTTGGCCAAGTTTCTCATTTCTGGATGTCACCACTGTCATCTGTACAAAACTCCTCTGTTTATTCAATTTTTTGAAAACCTTTGACGATGAGGTGACATTTGAACTTCTACATGCAAGCAATCTTCAGACGGTTGTTTTCAATTCCATTCTATTATCATGTCATCTTCATCGTATTTTTGGTCCAAAGACTCGTTATTTCACCAATTTTTTTTAACATGATCCGCCATCATATCTACTGTGAGGATCCCAGCGCTTTTGTATTCGATTCGTTTTTGTCGTATTAATCGTCCACAAACGTCTCTAAACACTTCGCAAATTGTTTCGGCTGCCGTTTGAGGATTTCGCCCTCTTTATGAACGTCATAAATTCTGGACAAGTCAACTCTCATTAGAATATTGAAAGCAGCCGTGCTAAGCAGTTCCCATATGAAGTGGAGAAGAGCCTTAGGGAGTGGGTAGAACCAGCACGTTGCTTCCTAATCCAGTGCACCACTAACCATTGTGCTCCTTACTCCGTATTACGCCAATTAGATGAGAAAATTTTCAAAGCTTTTTAGATTTTCCTTTATCCCATTATCATTAATTAAACAAACTGATGTGGCTGTTATTATCTAGCATCGCCACAGACTGTCTGTTCCACATAGATGAAGAAAAAAGCACATCTAAAGATAACAGGTGTGGATTTAGATTTGATAACGGCATCATGGTAAAAGTAGATCTCTCATCGAATCCGTGGATAGGAAATTGGACAAGGTAGAATGGAAGAAGACCGCAGTATAGTAAGCGGTCAGATATCAGTCAACAAAATATCCGCCGTGGTTTCAGTGACCCATCGCTGAACTCTATGGCCTAATTACCGTTGTAATTGCTGTTGTTACACTGTAAATAATTCCGACTGCAGCGGATGAGTCTAACTTCTTTTTCAAGCAGAAGTTTTTAATGTGTCCCATTCACTGAGTGATATTCGTGCTCCATCTCACTCTGAGTCGAGCCATTTTGGCAAATTGAACAGGAAAGGAACAAGAGCTACGTCCCGAGGAAAAGCACGATTTGTGATTACCACATGTTTACTTTGTTTAATTCTCCAAAAATACGAAAAAATCAAAGACATATAGCTTGGAAAAAATTTAAACTGATAAAGCTAATACGACCATTTTCGAAGCTTTAATGAGGTTTCTCTGGAAAAAAAGAGAACAACCACAGCTTTAAAACTGAGAGTGCTCGAAAACATAATAAATCAACGATTCACTGCGTTCTTCTTACTCGTCTCCACCATCTCTCGATAAACTGAGTCGTTTCTTGCGAGAAGATTCTCCGGTGTATCAAATTCCACTAATTCTCCGCCTTCGATGACAAGTATTCTAAACGAAGCATCCCTTACAACACACCATTGGAAAATGAAGTACAAAACGATGTTGAACTTCTACAAGACTTTTCTGCATTACATAACAAACAAAAGTGATGAGACCAGGATTTTGTGACTTTCAAGATTTTATCGCCGTGATGAACTGAAAAAACAAGTGGTGCGTTTCAATCTATCGGAATTTAGGCTAAGAAGACGCCCTCAAGTTGAGAATGCGCTTCATTACTAGCAGAACCTTGAGCGGTCTTTTAATTGGAGAGGGAGTATATTGTACTAAATATACGCCTTACGTACCTATCACATTCACCTATCGACTCCAGCTTATGCGCGATCGTTATAACTGTCGCGTATCGAAAGTGGACTCGAACCACCTGAAAAGCATAAACGACGTCTGCTGTTGAACGTTGAACATTTATGACATTCAAACTATAAAATTTTAATGCAAATTTATAAATTGTAAACCTGGTTAAATTTTTAGTTGCTTACTTTAGTCCGCATAAAAGAACACCTAGCCGGAAAACATAAACCAAATACTCCGCTAGGCACGCATAGGATCCGGAGACATAACGGGGAGGACTTTGAAGTACGTGTCACGATCCACGCGCAGGAATCAAAAACACAAGCGCGCAGAACTCTCGAGGCGTTCTGGATTAACTCCAGAAATCCGAAAATGAACCGCAGGGAAGAATGCCTCATTATCACGCGTGATGTAGGGCAGTATGTAAACCTGTTATTCTGATGGGAGGGGCACGTTACGCTTCAATGTGAATTCTGCGCGGTTGGTCTTCACACGACATACTCAGTGGAAGACGTCTAGAAAACGGTGAGTGTGCAGAGCTGTGTTCAGTGTGATTGAAATCTTGGTTTGGCGTTTTCTCTGTTTGGTTATGAAGGTGTTTGGCGGCATAGGTTGCTGTCAACATGACCTTTCCAGGCTCTGAGAAAGGCGAAATCCGCCGAAACGTCAGCTTTTACGTGAGTGGAGAAGTGGAATAGCACCTTGCGTTTGCTGAACAGAAGTGGAAAGGATTGTTAAATCAATGCCGAAGTTAATAGAAAGTCGGACGTGGGGCTTAGTTTAGTTTTCAATTGAGTTGAATGGTAATGGCAAAGTTTTCGATTACAAGTGAACTGTTGCAAAAAGCATTTTTTTAGAACCAGAAATATTAAAAAAAGATAGAAACCGCAAAAGTTGGATACCACATGTTCTAGGTATGCTATTGAGAAAAGTAAAAACTGCTGTGACTGTTCTATGACGACAGTTAACAAGAAATGATACATTTGTTATATTGATATTTTAAAACGGAAAGAACACTATACACTTCACCGTGATTGCTTGCAAGATAGGATAGCTACGTTATGCTAACAACCCATTCACAAAACATGAACATACTGTATACTGGTTACTAGATCAGTCATTAAAAAGTAACAACACGAGCTGTGGGCGAAAAATTTTTATACACGTTGTCTTTTAGTTCACTGATATAGAATATCTACCTCATTGACAGCGTGCGTGTGGTACACTGGTCGATGGCACCCTGCAATAGACATGGGATTGATCCCCGAGCACATGGTTCACCAAGCTTTCCGTTTTTCTGGGATCGGCAAGTCGGTACCAGACTTGTCTGGGAGATAGCAGCACTAGCACGGTACATCGACAGCCCAACGCGAGTCATTGTAAAGGCCAGATATGCATTCAGTCACTCAATGCTTAATGAAGTGCAATGCAAGGCGTATGCCTCAGGGTTTGATCAACGTCGGGAGCTCTGTCCCTTTTATCCTTTACCTCATTGACAAGTATTTGAGCAGCGTGGTCGAGAGAAGCAGTGGCCTCGTCTAGAATGAGAATACCGCCACCTTCTAGTAACGATCGACATAAACATATAAGCTGACGTTCACCAATACTGTAACAAAAGGTTTTAAGTCTAGAATGGAAGGATATAGAAAAAATATCAATACTGAAGCCATTTTCGTTCTTTTTTTCTGATTTTAAAAAAATTCTAGCAATAAGGAATCTTGTCGTATAGGTCGCACTGATATGTATCTTTTATGTCGGATATTGCTTTACATGAATAGATATAACATTGCTTTAGTATTTTTAAAAAAATTAGTACTGCGAAAGAAAAGGAAAAGAACCTGATATTCTTTCCTCCTTCTTCAATTTCGCACATAAGTCCGTCCTTGTGTTTTAGGATCATCTGCTTCAACTGACAAACTTCCAAAGCCAGCCATACATCGCTATCGGGAAATTGATTAAATGGGTCAACATTAAATCGCAACGTTGAAGAGAACAGAACAGGATCCTAAAAAAAGAATGGAATTTTAAAAAGCGGATGCTTTTCTCAACCTCACCGGAGTGAATCTCAAATCACAAAGTTCACTTCTTATTTTCTGCCTTTTATAATTTTTATGGCAGAGCATTAAGCGAAATACAACCACGAGATTGCTGATATACTTGCAAAACTCCGGACCGCAGGTGTCTATGGTGGTTAAAGAACGCTCTATTGTCCTTTCCGGAGAGTAACGCGTTCACCACCACACCATGCGGGTCCTTCGTTTCGCCTACCTCTCAGCTGATTGTCTCGATCAGTGCCTTCAGCAATCACTCATCAAAGGAATTAATCTGGGAGGCTCAAATCGGCATTGAACCCAGTTAAGCTAAGGCTGTAGTTGAAAGATGGTGGTGTGATGGTGAACGCGTTACTCACCGGAAAGCACAATAGCGTACTCGTTCCCCACCGCAGACACCTGTGATCCGGAGTTCTCAAATATCTCGGCATCTTGTGGTTGAATCTTAAATCGATTCCAAAGAGGATTAAAAAACTAACTAAGAGTTCATTCGAAGCATAAATGTCAATCAAGAATCGGTTAGTTGCTAAATGCAGACGTGAAACGGAAATATGGCGAATTTTAATCAAGTCGTTAGTACTCACTTTTTATACACTGCCTATTACAATATTTTACGGCAGGGTATTGTGTAAAATTCAACTATTTTAAAAAACTTCAGACCACCGATTTCTACGGTGGCGGACGAGCACGCTACTACCCTTTCCGTGGGTTAACGCGCGCACCACCACACCATGCGAGGCCTTCTTTTAGCCTCTCTCTTAACCGCGTTTTTAACCTATAGGTGCTATTAGCAATCACTCATCAACGGGATTTATACGAAAGCACAAATCGGCATTGAATCCTGTTAAGCTGAAGCTGTGGTATAAACCACAATGTGGTCACTTTTCATTTGCTTCCTATTTGTTTTTAGTAGCAGGATATTATGTGAAATATAACCATAATGATGCTGAGATGTTTGCAAAACTCCGGACCACTGATGTCCGAATGGTAATAGCATGTTCGTTACCCACCGCAAAAACCATTGGTACGAAATTTTGCAAATATCTCAACGTCATTGTGATTACAAGTCGTTTGTCTCGTCTCAAAACCGTCCAAATGAGTCTTTAAAAAACCATGTTCTTCTTTCCATACAATTCCATTAACGATTGGAATTGAATTTTCGATAGATATAAAGTAAACGTAGACAATTATTGTATTTCGGTCATCATACCTGTGGAATGATTGTGATTCTGGTTCTCAGCTCACGCAATCCCAAGTCAGCGATGTTGACACCGTCGATGAACACATCACCACTAGCTTTCTCCACTAATCGAAGTAAACCTCTTGCGACAGTCGTCTTACCTAAGGAATTTCTACTACTGTTCGCTAACTAAGTCACGTGAACATTTGACCTCACCGGAGCCCGTACGACCAATGATTGCCACTTTCTCTCCACCTTTAATCGAAAAGGTCATGTTTTTGACAGCAAGCTTTTCGCTATTGCCATAACGTATGCTAAAGTTACGGAACTCGATAGCTCCACTGTATGGCCAAGCGTCTATCAGTGGATATTCAGATGTAAATGGTCCCTAGGTGAGAACGTGTATCAAGATGGAAAACAACTGTATAGTAAATATAACATTTATAAACTTATGAGCTAAAACCCAAGGATTGGAAAATTTTGGCCACTCATAAAAATTAGTGGCTCAATAAAGAACTTTGCTAAGATATCATCATTCAAAATGTTTTTGGTGACCATCATGAGTATGAAAGTTACTAAGATCTGCCTACTAGTTATTTTAGAAATTTAATTCGGTATAAAGTGTGTAGTAAAAGAAACAGACAGAAAGAGCTAGGTAATACATTATTTTTTAAATTTTACTTTATATGACCCGTCTTCACGTCTACATTGCGGATCCCAGCACTTCTCACATTCAATTCGTTTCCTCGAATCCATTGCCCACGAAGATCTTCCAACTTTTGCGAGTGGCTTCGGTTGCTGCCTGTGGATTTCTATTTCATGTTGAATGTTGTAGAATGCTGGACGACCAATTCTCTCCGGAGTCCTAAGATAGTCGGGCTGGAGCGTTGCCAACTGGACTGCAGAGAGTGTTTTTTTCCCAGTTAAGGCCGGTACCAATTTCCTAACCCTGGAGGGATGAGTGGCTTGGTTGGCCTTGAGCGGAATCGAACTAGCACCACGCTCGTGATAACGGATATCACTACCACTGTGCTATCCGCTCCGGAGGTAGCACATTTCCTTTCTCAATTGAAGAGTAGACATTTTTTAACATTAGAGAATATAAGGATAAAGCTCTCGGCTTTGATCAATCTCTAAGGGATGCACCATGCATTCGACCTCATTAAGTATCGTTTGGAGGTTACTGAATGCATATCTGGCCTTTACAGTAACTCGCGGTGGTCTACCGATATATCGAGCCAGTGCTGCTATCCTCCTAGACATGTCTCGTACCCATTTCCCGACCCCGGAGAGATGGAAAGCTTGGTGGGACATGGGCGAGAAGATCGATTCCACGTTTGTGTTTTAGGGAGTCTCCAACCACTGGGCCACCTTTTCAACAAAATAATACCAAATCTTTAATTAACCAGGAAGAAAAGGCGCATAGATGAGATGATGTATAAGTTAGCGACTAGATTACAACAGACTCCTTGATGTAGTAACTATTTAGTTAAACCATTTATTATAACAAAAACTGCAGATGTACAACACTCTGACCTCTCTCTCGATATCGTGGTATTCCTTTATGCGTTCAACGGAGACGATGTTGGTCTCACTCAACGCCATCATTCGTACCGAAAAGTTCATCAAGTCTGTTAGCTGAAAAATTTACATTCAGAAGAAGGAAGCCAAACACTTTGTAGAAAAGAAGTATATGTTTTATATAATGGAAAAGCATTCGCTTTACGCCAACCATTTCAGTTTTGTTATTCATTCACCAGTTAAAGTATGGAAGAACATCAGCTACAAATTATCGTATGAATTCTGGAACCCGTAATAAATCTGGTGGTAGATCTTGGAAACGTCTAGTACAAAAGGAAATTCGACCAGAGCACGGCGTTCTTGAGAATGTCTTAAATTTCTTTCCGTTTTTTTTAATCCGAATTTTTATTTACCGAAGATGAACATGTACCTTTTTGGCAAAAATTTTTAGATTCATTTCAATTAGTTAAGTGCATGATGAGCGATGGTATTCTGGCTTAAGTGGCTAATAAGCAGAGATCAACTATCCTTTTCACAAGACATGTGTTGAATTCAATACGTGTCAATGTTAATTTCCGAAGATACACTTACGGTCGCATCAAAATTCAGTGAAACATTATCAACCCGTTTTGTATGGTATCTGCTGGATTTTTCAATAACTTGTTTTCTTCGGACTTATTCTCAGTGGTATCCTTTTCATATCTAGTCCGAAGTTCTTGCCAGAAGGGGAGCTACGACTAGTACATTTGTTCTTTTTGATCCAATTGAATGACTTCATTATCCACTTCAACGTGGTGGTTAATAGTTCTAACGAAGCGATCTCTCTTTGTCAGTCTTTGGGATTGGTTAGGAGTAAGGGAGAGCTGTATAATCGCAGTACATTTTCAATAGCAAACAGAGAGAGAGAGAGAGAGAGAGAGAGAGAGAGAGAGAAGGAGGGAGGGAGAGAGAGAGATATTTAATACGTTGGATTGCTTTACTCGTTGGTAGACGAGTATAAGATGATGTTTGTTTCTACACTTCCAAATCTCGTTTCACAGGAGGCAAAAACAAGAACAAAGGACATGTCCTCCTGAAAAACTGCAATGTCTTCCAGAAGTTGCTGAAGCTCAATTTCACCACATTAGCATAGCATGACACAGAGATTGATAGCACGAATCTCTTTAAGTGTCAGCATATTCAGGATTTCGAATGAGAAAACATCTCGACTTTTTCAAATGCTAAGTCAAAATTTTCGGATTACTTGCCGTTATGGCCAACTTACGCTGAGCGCATAGGAGATGCAGAGTCCGACTTCACCAGTCGTGATTAGTCCCATTACGTGGAATAGCGACACCATCACCGAACACGCCAACACCTAAAGCACAAACGAAATCTTAGCGAAGGCTATTGGGAGAATTTCACAGTTTCTGACGCTGGAATTTAACAACAGCAATCACATTTGGGGACTAAACACAGTTTAAACAAGCACAATAATCTCATCTAATTTTCTGTTCCTCTCAACTTCCTAAAAATTCTGCCAGTCAATATAAAATTTAACACTCTATAAAATAGAAATAGAAAGAAGTGCCATAATATTGCCGAGGAGTTCCAATCGCAACGCCAACCATCTGGTAGTTGCAGGAGCAAGGTAACGACATCGAATAAATGAATCAACGTTGTCATAGAAAGAGAGAATCGTTGAATTAACCTAGAAGAAAAAGACTGCAGAAGAAAAGACAGAAAAATATGGTGTGATCAGGTTACTGGAAACTAATAGTATAATACAACATAACATTATGTCAGTCTCTATGTGCTTTGCCGCATCAACATAATGAGTAGTCCTATCCGGCAGAATTTACCAACTTAAATAAGAGCTCGACCTATCTTGCCAAAGGGATTGGATATCAGAAAAAAATCTACGTGCATTTTGCTCACTGGTATAATTAAGAAGAGACCAGTAGCTTTTTTGAGACATGTACCTCGGCTCACCTAACAGAAGACTCTCACGATTTGTTATGGCTAACCATACTTTTGTCAAATTTTAACGTATTTCTACCAACGGGCCACAGTTTAATTCTGCTGTGGTTATATCACTAAGAAAAAAAGGGTAATAGAATAGACCTGCTGCTGAACTGAAGACAGTGATCGCGGTCTTTGTTGCGTACATGTTGGGCATAGACCTTGCATTGGTCGGTACATACCTTCATTATTCACTTCAATTTATTACTTAATAAAGAGCCAGTCGGTATGGCGATATGGTTCCTTATTTTGTGCCAATTGACCACGCCCTTTCACTAGTGAATTTGATCCTATGCTAGTTCTGGAGCAAAAAGTTCTTCAGCCTTCTGACCTTTCTAGTTTCTCAGAATGTTGAAAGATAAAAGATCGCTGAAACCAATCTTTAAAGAAGTCCCGATGACAATGTACAAAGAAGAGAATGTCTGCGATTATTTTATTTAAAATGCTAGTAACAACGCTTACTTCTTTATTTACTGCCTAATACACGGGCTTTCACAGCAGGGTATTATAGGAAATCAACTAAAACTGTGCTGAAATATTTGCAAAACTTGTACCCAGCGCCAGAACGAACTACGAACTCCTTCTAAGGGGGTTGGCGCACAGCACACTGCGCCACTGAGGCCCTTGCTCCGCGTTTCTCCCAGCTACTCTTCCATCCACCAGCTCTGAGAGCCAAGAGAAACGCAGAGCAAGGGCATCGGTGGCGCAGTGTGCGATGCGCGGGCTCTCGTAAAAGGAAGTCGTGGTTCGAGTGGTTCGATCTGGCCTGGGATTCAAACTTTACGAATTTTCCAGCATCGTTATGGTTGTAATTCACATCATACCCTGCTGCGAAAAATTATACTAGGCAGAAAATAAAAGGTTAATATGGTGACTTCGACTACGGTTTCGGCTTAACTGGGCTCAATGCTCCCATGTGGGCTCCCTAGATCAATCCCCTTAACCGGTGATTGCTGATGGCACCGTTAGATAGAAAACTAGCCGAGAGCAACGCAGAGTAAGGACCCGTGGCGCAATGTGTAATGTGCCAGCCCTGGAAAGGGAAATTGTGATTCAATCTGGCCTGGAGTCCAAGTTTTATGAATATCTTATCATCGTTGTGCAGGGTCAATATCACGTTTCCCTCATTTTGCATTTCGCGAGTTATCCCAAATTTTTGATCTTTTGAACAACTTCTGAACCTTTCAGCCAGTTCCTTTCCCAATTTATCACGTTTCACTCATATTTTTGGTAGGCTCTGTGCGCATGAATGAGCGCTTCTTAAGCAGAACAATGCAAAATCAGACCTTCTCCATAATCAACAAAAAATTTCTTTCACAGGTTTCTTTTCTCATCATGGGCGAGAAAGCGATGCCCGATGTCAAAATGTGATGGAAGCAAGGGTTCATTCCAGCGGCATAGTCTATCAAGCGAAGAAGAATTTCGACATTTTGAACAAAATCTTCAACGAAAAGTAAACTATTGCCAGAAACCGTTGCTATCTTGGCTGCAACACAGGGAGCAGGGAGTATGTAGTGACGACCTGGGAAAGAACCAGCTTTAACGCGACGTTCGAAGTTTAATGGAAAGCAAATCTTGACCACCAGCAAATTACTGGTCAAATAGAAATTATGCGTGGGTTTGCTTCACATCAGGTCACAAATAACGCGAATATTTTATGAATGACTCAAAATATCGGGACCTGCTCCATATATGAAGACGTTCCAACCAGAAGTCCAAATACAATGCATAGCACTATTATCACATAAACATTGAATTAGGTTTCCGATCTTGATGTAGGATGGAATTCGATAGTCATGGATAAACCTCACCCTTCGATAAGCTCGAATGCTATCCGCACCGTTGATGTTCTGCGAAAGAACTCCTAGTAACTGAGATCTCTGCGCACTTTCAATCCTTTTAATTTGTATATTCGTCGGCAGAAAGTACTTCTGGAAGATAGGAAATTATTGTGGCTTGCTTAATGCAGGGGAAGTAGAACGGATATTATTACTTGATGTATTACTTTATTTCTTTAATTCAAGTACTTTAAATAGCTATCATTTACTAAAATATCATACTGGTCGTAGCCTTTTACTCAATATGATTTCTCGAAAAGGAGGTCAATACTCTATAGTGTTCTCCTGCTTGTACGCAATGCAGAAAAAATACGACACAATGCAACCACTTTTTATTAACTGCGTATTCTTTTTTCATGGCAGGGCATGTTGTGAAATAATTAAAATAATACTCAGATAATTGCAAAACTCTGGAGCGCAGGTGTCTGCGGTGGAGACCGAACATGCTATTACCTTTTCTGGGAGTTAACGCGTTCACCACCACACCATACGGTTCCTTCGTATCGAATTTCTCTCAACCATATTTTACAGGCGGTGACTGATCGGGTGATTTCTGATAGTGCCTATAGGACATGGCCGAGAGAAAGACCAAACGAAGAACTCGCATGGTGGTGTGGTCAACGCGTTAACCCCCGGAAATGTAGTAACGCGTTTGATGTCTACCGTAGACATTTGCGGTCCGGAGATTTGAAAATGTTTCAGTATCAATGTAGTTAAAAATAAGGCAATAAATAAATCGCCTTACTAGAATAAACACATATCCGATTGTGAACGGTACGACAAACACGATGTACAGTGGCAACGAGATACTGATCACGACAAGAATCATACAGATCTAAAGTAGTTCATTGATGAACATTCAAGTACGGATATTGTATCACGAGGTTCCATTATTCATCTACGATTAGCTAATTGGTAATTTTTATAAGGACGAGTGACCAGCAACATGAACTGACTTACCGAAACTGAACTTTCTGAATATAACAGAAAATCCGCAACGTTATAAAATGACGAAATTAGCAAAGAACTCCAAAGAACCAACACAATGAGTTAATTTTGATCTCAAATTCTTAGCCAGAATGTACATACCAAAACCTACATGCATCAAACTGTCCACGACTAGTCGAATGTTTATCGGAAATTGTATGTCAATGATGTCGACGTCCTTAAAAGTGATGCCATTAGATAAGTGCTCTATTAAACTTCACCCTTTAATTTTGAGCTGCTCCTAAATGCAGCAAACCGCAATCAAAAATAAACCTGGTTAAATTTCTGCAATAATATTAAATTCGGCGGGCCAATTTTAGAAAAGGGGCGGATAGTATAGTGGCGGTGACGACAGCCATAACGACCCCGCTGCTGGTTGGACCCTTCTCCAAGCTCACTAAGCTCCTCATCTTTCTGGGACGGCGCAATTGGTACCGGAATTGTTCGGAAGAAATTGCTTTCTTCAATCCAATTGGGAATACTTTAGTCCGCTTATCCTAGGCGCTTAGTGAGAACTGACCTGACCAGCATTCTACGACATTCAAGAGGAAATGAAAAACCTCAAACAGTAGCCGAAGCCACACGTAAAAGGTGGAAGACCTTTAACGATGATGGATGGGAGGAAACGAATCGAATGTGGAAATCACTAAGATTAGGACAGTATATGTGCAGAGGATTGCGTAAAATATTTTTAAGAAATTGCGAAAGAGAAGAGAATAGCACAGTCGTCAACGATGCAGTCCACCAGGATGCAAGATGACGGTCCAATCCGCTTCATAACGCTCTCCTAGAATCTACGTGAAGGCACCTTATCTCGACTATCTACAAAATTGCAAGGAGAATCGACTCGACCAACATTCTACGACATTTGTAAAGATAAAATCCTCAAGCAAAAGCCGAAACAACACACTAAATGTTCAAAGATTTTTGCGGACGATGAGTATGAGGTAAACGAATTAAATACTAGATGTGCTACGAGCTGCGAAATACTGAAAAGACCAATAGCTTTATTAAAGATGACATTATTGTTACCAGTATCACCTGTACTCCCATTGATCGTCGAGTGACTCGAGTGGGCGCCAGTAAATTTTCCATTTCTCCCTGTCGCGTGGCAAGAGTAGCCCAGTGGGTTCTGCTAGCTCTAGGGACGTCGAGCACCATAGCTTTCTTCTAGGCTCTTCGTGAATAACTCTGATCATCGGGTCAGTGGTCTCCATGCAGTACGTTTGACATCCTGAGGAATCCAGTCACTAACGGCTCTGGTCCATCGGTTGCCATTCATACGCATTACGTGTGCGGTCCACCATATCTTCGACTGTTTGGCGTACAGAACGGCGTCTTTGATTTGTGATCGTTCCGCAGATCGGAGGTTCGGATCCTAACCCTTACCTGTGTGGAATGGAATACTCCTAGCATCGTCCTTTCCACTGCGCATTCGATCACGCTGAGTGACCTTTCTTCTTGCTTACGCAGCCACCAGGTTTCTGACGCATACTCTAGGGCACGAAGTACCGTTGAGTCGAAAAGGTGG